GAGGGAGTCTGGACAGCACCACTGAGAAGCCCCTGCAGAGGTTAGCACAAGGACAGTATCACCTAGCTCAGGCACCTACTTTCCACCCTACAGTGGCTAATGGGGCCAAGGCTCTGGCACCGTTTCTGAATGACACCCAGGAGGGCAACGGCCTCAGACATCCACACAGCAACCCCCCCCCCCCACCCACCCACCCACACTGCCTCTCCCTCTCCCGGCAGGAGAACCCAGGCTGTTTTCTAGCTGCTCTTTCCTCTCCAAGCTGCTGTTTTAACTGTTTTTGTTGCTGTGCGCGCCGAGGACGTTTCCATGTTGATAGCTGCTTTTGCAGGCCGTCTCCTGGTTGTCATGGTGACAGTGATTAGCAAGAGCTCAATTGTGAGGCGGGGGAGGGGTAAATGCTGTATCTCCCCGAGTGCTTTCCAAGGGCGGCAGGTACATCTAATCCCAGCATCGCTCCGTTTTATGCCTTTGATGAGCACCAAGAGCTATCGAATGACCGGCGTAGACAGCAACAGTTGCTCCGAGGGGATGCAGCACTCAGCCTAATAACACTCAAATCACAGCCAGCTGCAGCCAGCAGACAGCCATCTCTGGAGACCGCCGGGCCTCCTCCTGCTTACCCCTCACTTTGCCACATCTCTTCAGCTTCACACCAACTCTTTCCCCTCTTCTTCCACCATTTCATTTTCTTCTCATTGAGAAGCACGCAGAGGGTGAGCTCCCTAGGGGCCTGCACCGCTACAGCCCTCTGCGTACCACCTTGAGTTATACGTCTCTGCCCCCAATCAAGCATACCTTGAGTCAAGAAGCTCCCAGTCAAGGTGCACCCTGGCTACAGACAAGTGTGCCGCGGTTGGACGTGGCTCTATTACCCAATACGAGCAGCCACACCTGTTGCGGGGAAAGTCCTGATCGTTCACTCTTTGTGCAGCTAGACTAAAGCTAGGAGGTCAGAGGGCGTATGAAATGGAAAACAGGACTGAGAGCACCAAAGTTCATTTTCTTCTGCTGTTCTGCATATCCATGGTCTGTAGCTGCCCCTAGTGAGGCTGGAGGAGGGAAATGTAGTGATTATGGGGATGAGATGAGCCCCAGATAGGGAAGTGCAAGAAGAAGCATGTCCAGGAGCAGAGGCCTTGTGTTTTTCTCTAAGGGGGTGAGGGAGCTAAAATGGGTCTCACCTGTGAAAAGCTACACTTCCCTAAGATTTACGTCACCATTGTACCTGGCCCACTATGAGGCCATTCAGGAAGCCTATGGTCATGGAAAACCAATACCTATCATGCTCCGAAGTGGGCTACTGATTAAAAGTTAGACTGAATGGGACTGTTATCTTTGTGATTTAGCAACTGTACAAACGGACTAACCAGTGCGATGGGTTCAGCTTCCAGCCTGATCAGTCAGACTGCTGTGGAGACTCGGGGTGCTTACATTTTCCACCAGTTCCATGCAGACTCATTCTAGTTTGCACAAAATGTCCGCCATCCGCAGTGGCTGGCAGCCAAAAACCCTCTGGATCTCCTCACCTAAAGGATTTTCTATTGGAGGGAGGAGAGAAGAAGGAAGATTCAACTGAAGTTCATGGAGCACCTGACCAGCCTTTCTTCCTCCCATCAACACGCAAACAAACTTCTCTGAATTCTTCAGTGCACTTGGCATTCCAGTCATTGCAAAGCAGATGGCGATTCTGCCAGGCTCATGCACCACAGGAAGTAGAAAGTATCTGAAGACAGGATTTCATCAACTGGCTGGCAGGAGCCCAGAATGGTTTGTGGAGAAGGGACAAAACAAAAGGGAAGGCACTGCAAGATCTGTGCAGAGAAAGATGAGAAGACAACCAGCTGCAGCTGTCTGCTGAGGCCACCTCCTTAGGGCATACACAAAGATGCCCACATGGTGCAGCAAATTTCATGCTTGCTGTCTTCCTATGAATCAAAACCAAAGAGCCAGCATACTAACCTGGCATTACAAACTAGCCATGAAGCTGAATTGGTATGTTTGGATTAGCATTACTACTCTCCAGTGTAGCCTTTAACTAGGTGTGCTACAGCTCTGTCACAACTCACCAGCCCTATTGTATTGCCCCTTCTTCATAGTTGTATCTTCTGACAAAATTGCTGCTATGCAGCTAACTACCCGCAAGCCACTTAATTGCAGACTGTTACAATTTTCAAGCTGGGCCAATATTATTGTATTGCATAAGGGGAAAATAATCCATGTAATTTAGCATTTTTTTCAAAACAAAAACAGAGCGCATTTTCTAGCACATTATCTAAAATCCTTACCCAATCATTGCACTGGAAAAAAAAAGACAGAGCTCAATCAAGAAGCAGCTGGTCATTGGATGAGCAGATAGCACAGCTGGCTCGGCCTACAGGTTTCTGGCCACTAGAACGCTTTCTACTCCCCCCCAACTTGCCTGACTACACATCTCAGTAGCGTGGTAGAGTCAATCGTTCTGTTTCCTTCTTTTAGCAAGATAATCCTCAATGACAACAAAGAGACAACTTTCAGAACCATGTCAAATAGACAAAAAGACACAGCAATAATGACACATTAATGACCAGGATCCGGAAACGCAATGGAGTAATGCAGACCACCACCCCCAGCACAAAATTTGATTACCCTCATTTAAACATTTTTCTGTGGTGTTCGCCCATCTCCTACAATATTTAACTGGAAAAAGGCTGCTGGTTTGCTGCAAGTTCCCTGCCTTCCTGGCTTTACTGCACCTCACTAACTTCATCTTCTTTCCCACCAGGGTGACAAAGATCCTGCTAAAAGGGCTGGAGGAAGAGAATAAACAGGGTGGGCCCCAGGAACAAAAGGCTGCAAATCTGAATCTTTCTTGTGTGTCAAAAGCGCCTGAAATGAGCATAACAGACACACTTCAGAGTGTGTGCACAGAAGCAAGGTTCTGTAATTACATGGGGAGCACAAGGGAGCAAAGTCAAGAAAGAGAGCAGAAGTGGAAGAGAGGAAGTCAGTGCTAGAAGGTTAATTGAAAGGAGTCTTCAGAAGGAATTTGCGATTAAATTGATTTATGGAGGTACAGCAGCCTGTATTTTTGATTCTGCCGCAGTTTCTGTAGCTTCTGGCCTAATGTTGCTATAGATAATCCTTGCACAACTGCCCTACGTGTTTTTTTCTACCAGAACTCTCAAGTAGCAAGGAAAAAAGAGAATTTCACTGTTTAGCCAATGCATGCCCTTTTTCAAGGAAAGAGTATTTCTACCAGTTTGTGCCAAGCTGACCTGAACTAGGGACTACTCAGTGCCAAAGGGCTTTTATGGAATTGTTTTGACACCAGCTTGAGAAGCTGCTGGAGAAACAATTGTGCACACAAAAGAGGGACAGTACCTAGAAAACAAAGAAGTGACTGGACTCCCCAGGTGCTTTCCATCTTGAGTCAGGGACCACTCACTGAGCAATCGGTGCCCAGCTGAGTGAAAGGCTTAATCGTCTTGGAAAGACCCAGCTTGTGCATTCTCAGCCACAGATAGAGCTCAGCAGTGGTACTTGCCATCTGGGAGGTGCATGTGGTTAAAACAAAAAGTCCAAGGTTTTCTGACCCAAATTACAAGCAGCAATAGGCCTGCCAAGTCATTCATATTGGCTTCACTTTCTTGTGCTGATGTCTCAGAAATAAGTGATGAAATAGCCCCAGGATGAAACCTAGGAACAGAGAGGAAGAAAAATGTCTGGGTCACAAATGGTAAGAGCAACTTGGAAACAGAAATGGGAACAAAAAAAAAAATGCATCTCACCTCTGGCATTAGCTTGTGCTTTTGTCTCCACACGTGGCTCTGTAACAGCTTCCATACCACTCTGGGGTAAAACATCAGCACAACAGATTGACTGCTTTTGGAAAAGGGGGAACAACATACATGTACCTTCCCCACGGCCAAGCATACCTCTACAATTCTCTCTCATAAAAAGACTCCATTTACCACTGATATCTCCCAGGAGAGTGTGGAAAACAAAGGAGATGAGTCAGACTTGTAAACAAGTTCTCATTTATTCTGTTTATTTGTGTGGCTAACAAGTTCTCATCCTAATCTAGTAAAAATATTAGCAGAAAATATTTGTCCTTTTTCCCCATACACACACACATACATTTTTTGTGTCTTAAATAAAAGAGTCAGAACGTTAAGTGTGAGACTCAGGGAGAGGCTTCTTTATCAATAAGCTCCTGTAGTAAAATCAACTTTTTGCTCAAGATATAAAATGCAGCAACCCTTGGCACTGAATCTCCAGTGCTGCACCAAGGCAATCAGTGCTCCTCAGAAGGATCAGTCAAGTCATTTAAAAACATTAAGAAAATACTTAGCACTTATCTGGCACTTCTTGGCCATGGGTCTCAAAGCACCTTCCAGAGGCAGGGATGTGTCATCTCCACTTGCAGAGGAGGAAGCAGCAGCACAGAGAAGTTACCAGTGACACTTGCACATCAGTTTAGTGCAGAATGAGGAATGTCTCCAAATCCCATGTCCTGTTCAGCACCCCATGCTTCCTGCCCTTCCCTAAGTGGAATATATATATTCCGCTTAGGAAAGTCAACACATCAGACAGTCATAGATGTACTAGCTAGTGACATCAAGGAGTTAACTGAATCATGGTCAGAGCTGCTGAGTACTTTGGAAAAGACCAAAAAATATATTGACAAGAGAGTAATAAAGATGGAACACTTTTGGCAAGTCCACGTGTATTCAGGAAGTGATAATTCAGTTACCAAGCAGCTACACTGAGTTACAACAAGATGAAACGTACAAAGACTCCCTACTTTGAGCTTTAATAGAAAGTTTTTTGAGAAAGAGATTGTAGGGGAAAATCCCTAAAACTGTGAAATTGCATTCTGGGCTACAGAATCTGGGCTGATAAATCTCTAGGGGATAGGATGGCTCAAGGCTTCGGGAATAAGGTATCCAAACCCTGCCAGGTCAACAGTACCAAAAATACAAAGATCTGCTGGCTATTCAGTGAATTATGTGACAAAAATCTGTGATCTCACAACTTCCTTAGTGGACAAGTAACCAGAACCCAACTGGCCCCAGTGTTAGTAGCAGAGTGGAGATACCAAAATCTCAGTGGTCCATGAGATACAACTCCCCTTTTCTTCAAAGCAGGCACCTTTACAAGGACATGTTTGCCCCATCACTAACTGTGCTGTGCTTGTCACATGAATGGATGAACACTAGTCTCCCATGTTGCCAAAGTGGCGCTTTTCATAAGCTCTTTGTAACCTATGAGGACTGCATTCTTTAACAACATACATAAGATATACGAGTGCTAGGATGATGTACAAAGTAAAAGTGCAGCCAACCACCTAGTCAGCTTCAGAACTAGGTGAGCTGGCATTTAAGTACACAAGCTCAGACCCACAAGCATTTGGATTCAGATCTTTGCTGAAATCCAGTAGCTCATCCTTCAAACACTGCAGATACTGCAGAGATCAAGCTTGCAATGAATCTAATGTGAAACAGCTGTGCTTTGATCCCAGCAAATGAAACCTCTTGCCATGTCACTTCCAGTTCTTGCAGAGAACAGCGTGTGACCTGGGAGAGGATAGACAACATCAAGTCAGCAAAAAGTCCAACGTCCAGCAACAAGCCCCCAGCAATACAGATGAAGTCTCCCTGCGCAAAACCCAGAATGCACCTAATCTAAATTAGTTCCCCACAATCATGGGCCTGATGTGCACACCCAGAGCCAATGACAGAGGGTGACAGTGGCTGCCCCTCCTTTCTCACCCAGAACAGCAGAGTCCTGGTACTAGAGAAGGTGAAAATACCACTTGGGACATGTTCCCTGTGTGCAGCATTTCCCCTTAAGGTATCAAGTCTCTTGCCACAAACAAAAAAACCAAAAGCGACCATCCATCTCCAAAGCTCTCTCACGCATCCCTGCTAATCACTACCTAGTTCCCACCCTAGCCTCCAGCTCCTCTAACTCCCCATTCAACTTCTCCAGTTTCCTTCCCTTTGAACTAATGCACCACCTTCCCTCTGCGGGGGGGGGGGGTCACACTGCTCTGCAGACACTAAGGCACATAAAGTGACTTGCATAAGAATCAGGTCTGGAACGCCTCTCTCTGAACTCCGGGACCTGCTCTAACGGCGCTCCTCACAGGCCTTTCTCCTCTCACACCTTGCATATTGAAGTAGTCTGTGTGCACTGCGTGAACTAGAACAAGAGTTAGTTTTGTTTCCCTGTTATCACTTAAATTTCAAACACAACAAAAAACCACCCTGCTGCAGCTCCTCTTCTCCCCCTTCCAGACTGATTACTTTTCTCAAAAATGTGGAAGGGCATCGATACAGAAAGAAGCAATCAATGTAGATGGCAGACAGCTTGGCCTGTGCTAGCACAAAACAGACAACGCAAGAGAAAAAGGAACTGCCTCTCAGGGAAACAGGAGGGGTTTCTCAGCCACATCTGGTTTGCCAATAAGCACAGGGGAAAAAGGTACAGGATTTAATGCAATAGTGCAAACCAGGTGGTCATGATAAAGAGCAGCATTCACATGACTAATCTCCTGTCAAGATGGCCCCTTCAGAACTCAGTGGGATTTGCTTTCAGGAGCTGGCTGGCCTGCAAGTATCAGCCAAGAGGAATCAGTATCAGTCCAGAGAAATTATGGTGGTTGGTAAGAGCTTCCAGGTCAGGGTTTTTTCCAGTGAATGACAGTTTGGTATCCCAGAAGGCATGAACATCTGGCTTTGGTGTGTCCATGACAAAAGCATGTATTTGGTAGCAGCAGCTGCCCCAGCTCTAGACTGTACTATGTGCAACTGTGCCTCATGTGGAAGTTAACAACATATTCTGCATTAGTCCTTTGCACTGAGATGGCAAAGGGCTCAAAGGGGTGGAAGGTGAATGCAACCAGGCGTCGCACAGTGTGATTGATGGGTCGACCCAAAAGTCCTGCCTGGATTTCAAACTTCAGGAGGCCAGAATCCCGGGCATAGAATCTGAAACGAAGAGAAACAGAGAAGGTTGGTTATGTCTACTACTGCTCGCTGGCACTGCCAGTTTGGGTACCTCAGGAAGGTTGACTGGTGACATTGATGGCTGACCCCTTGTTCCATTTCTGCATTTACCAATAGGTGTGCTGGCAAGAGGACTGATGTCCTCACCATATGACTGGCCAATCAGTAGCACTGACTGACCACAGGAATGACAGAAGCTCGTTCTGGGAAAATCCCCTCAGGTCCTTTCACTGTATCCCCATTCAGAAGAGGCATATCTGTTGGATTTGGCCCTGCTCTACAATGCTTGAATTCTGCTTGGCAGCTAGTTTCAGTTCAAACCAGACCTTCTGGTCCCTTGCAGATTTCCACAGAAGATTGTCAATGCAATAGTCTCAAACTTGCAGTGTTCTGGAATGTGACTCAAAGTTGCTGCTCTTCAGAGATGGTCTGGCTCCCATACAGAGCAACATAACTGACTATCTTTCCTTTGCAGCTTCCAGACTTTTTCTCAAGTCCTGGAGCACTCTTCTCTAGGTCTCAAAGCCATAAATAATATATAAGCTGTCTCAGGCTACATTCCCTTCATCTCTAGTGGAAACACAGGGTTCTCTATAACCTTCTCCACTGCCCCAAGACTTTGGCAGGCTCTTAGGCAGGATTTTGTACCTCTGCAAACCACCTGGACTCAGCATGAATCATCGGTCCTAACCCCAATGTTGGCTCAGCCATTTTGACATTTTTCCCTGCTATTGCCACAGGTTTCTAGTTCCCAAACTGCTGCCTTCTGCTTCCTGCCTGGTAGACTTTGGTTGTTAGCACTTGCCTCAGGTTTCAAGGTATAAAAGCATTTCTGAAAAGCACAGGCTTCTAACACCCCCATGCCCCCATCTTGTCACAGTGTATTCAGCTCTCCAGCAGGCAGCACTGGCTCCGGACACATGAAGGTGACTTCCTTTCACTGCTTGACCCCCCTCTGGCTTTTGATAATACAGCCTACTGAATTCTTCACATTTTTTCTAGCCAGCCACCCTCCACCCCTCTCTCCCCCAGCAAACTTGGCTGCCAATTACACATAAGAACCAAGCAGAAGATTTACAATCTTGGTATTTGGCTTTCCAAAAAGCCCTTTTCCCTCCTACACAGAACAAGGCATGCAGGGGGTTGTTTTTAAGTAAAACACGGCCTATGGTCTGCTCCTCTCTCTCCAATTCACAGTAATTTACCATACTCAAGATGAGCTCCCTGTAATCTCAGAGATGGGCTTGGTTTGGTATTTTTACATCCATTTTTAAAAGTGCTCTGCAATCAGAGGCCATTTCCATGGGCTCGCACTCAGTGGATAAATTAGGCACTGAAATATAAAACTCGTGTCAATAAAAACAGCAAGACTAGTCTTTTAAAACCATACAAAAATGGTTAAAAAAAGTATCTGCTTCCCATTTCTTGTTTAAATAGGCTCCTTCTTAACCCTTTCCACTGACTTTAATGCTCTAATACTGGAGTTGCTGTGTTAATGCTGCTTTCCCAGCATATAGCACCCCAACCAGTTTGTGGTCCCCTGCTGGGACATTGCTGCCCAACCTTTTGCGAGCATACGTGAGAAGAGCTCTGAAGCCCCTCTATCAGGGGAAATGCCACAGAGCAGGATGTTTGCCTCTTCGGCAGCCAACAAAGGGTGACAGCTGCAGCTGTCCA